TGGCTTAATATGTAATTTTATCCATTTTGATAGTGAATTGTTTAAGTCAGAAGTCAAGTCTTATTTACTTTCATAACGAGCTAACTTATTAATGGCCGTCATTAACATGATTTCGAGTACAAAATTTTGGGATTTAGAGAGAAAAATTAATATTCTAATGAAAGATTGACATAATTGAAAATCTCATGCAACTTGAATCTCTTGATGGTGATGAGTTGTTTGGGATTAAATTTTACTTATGACCCTCGTTAATGTCAATAATGAATATACAATTTTTGGTGAGATATATCACATCTTGTATTGGCCTCAAGAGATTGAATAACTTTTCAACTCTAAGATTTTTATGGATATAGAAGATATATGAGGCGGTGAGGGAAAGAACAAAAGATATCATATAATAATTTGAAGATATTTCAAACATTTTACTTTTATTGTATATCGTTGGTAAGTTCAACAACTCAAAAAATAAAAAATAAAAACTCTCTTATCAATAAATAGGTCACTCTAAAAAACAATTAGTTCCAATCAACTCAAAAACACCTTATCAAAACTTTTGTCTCTCAAAATAGTGGAGACTTGTCATGTTCCACTCTCATAAAAAATTTATAACTTTATTCCATTCCATAAAGAAAGGTAACTCTATCTTGAAAAAAAGGAAAAAAAAAAAAACTCCAAAGCTATGTACGAATAAAGAATCTAACCTTTTTTTTCTTTATTGCAGGAGTTTGATCCGTAGATTAAAAATAATATACTTGATAAATTATGTATTCGTATAATATTTATTTCATGTAAAATATGTTTAAAATATGAAAATTATTATATTAAAATTTGTGTCGACACGTTAAATATTAAATATATTTTTAATTTTCATTAAACTCATAATTTTTTATCAAAATTTTAAATCATATCACTTTTTTATCTTTTCATATTATTTTTGGATCATGTTATTATATCATATTTAAAATTATCTTGTCTAAAAAACACAAAGATAGTATTTGGTATCATTTTTCAGATTATCATGATGATCTAATTATCATAGTGATAAGATTACCTAGGTTATTTGATCAACGATAATCTTTAATTATCATGTTGGTATAATATTATAAACCACTAGTGCTTTTAAATTACTATATTTGGTATTATATGAAAAATTAAATCATATAGTACAAAATATCCAAAGTAACTTAAAAAATAAAATATTTAATACTTATTGAATTAATAATTTATAAAATAATTAAACGTTATTTTATAGAAAACCATAAAATATAAATCAATTTTGATAAAAAAAATTTTCTAACAAAATTATTAAATAAAATTATTATTTTTTCATAGTTAATATAAATTTATAACATAAAATCATTTTTAGAATAAGTGATTAAAAAAACCAATTTTTAAAATTTTTTATGGCCTTTGCAATAATTTTTTAATCATATTTTTTGTGATAGTAAATTAGTTAAAAAATAATATTAAAAATTACTTTTTCGTGACAATAAAATTTTTCATCCTTTAAGTTAAAAATTAGATTATTCTCTAAATAATGATTTTATCATCCTAATAATTTAAAATCATTACCACACAAATTTTTAATTGCTATCAAATAAAATAATATAATTATTAAATACAAATTATCATGATATTTAAACGAAATCATTTCTTATCAAACACTCTCGAAATTATACTAAAATCATATTTTAAATTTAAAGACAAATACTACACCAAACATGATAAAATTTATAATAAACAATTCTCGTTGCAATAAATTTTATTCTCAATGGATTTTTTTTTTAAAGTTTAAATGAAAAGTTTTAATAGCAAAAGCAATGTTAAATTAAAGATAATTGCGTTTGTCACGTGAGATGTGGACATTTGAAACCTAAGATATATATATATATATATAAATATATATATATATATATCTTGGGTGGACCTACACTTGGCGTCCATTTGGAGTATTACATCAACTGTTATATGGAGGGAAAGACGAAGCTTCGTTTGTGGGAACCTAAACCTATGGATAACTGACACGTAGAAATCAAACAGAGAATTGATTATCATAGTGTGACGCGTGTGTATTTTATCACTGGTCCACACGCCTTTACCTAATGTTGGTGGGCTCCCCATCAAACCTATTGGCAGTCACTGATTAGCCATACGGAAGGTTTCTTTTGCAATTGTGCCCTAATACTTTTACTTATTTATGCCTTGGCCGAAATAGATATTGTTCCTGCAGTTTTATCCAATACTCAATTGCTTTATTTTATACGAGATACTGAGTCAGTTTTATTTCCTATCAATGGGGTGTTCTACTTAATTATATTAAATTAAGGTAAAATACATCAATAGTTACTCAACTATATGGATTTTTTTATTGTTAAAATTTTTTCTTTAGTCACTAAGTAAGTGTTTTTTCAGTCATCCTGCTATTAATGTCTAACAAAATGCCGATCGAATACACGACATCAATTTAGTTGTCACATTAGCTGACCATGTATAACAAAGTCAAAAATATTTTTCACTTTGTTCTCTTCCTTTCTCTCTCCTCCCTATTCTCGCTGCCTTTTCTTTAGTTTTTCTCTTTAAAACCAACAACATTCATTTGAGCGATTTGGAGAAAACACAGTCCCAAGATAAGTAAATTCAATTTTCAATCATACGGTAGAGAGCCTTAACACAATCAAAGCTAGAGCCGATTAACATTTAACAAACCATTAAAATACATGATTCCTATCAACAATAGACAGAAAAACAGCAAGCATCAACAACACATGTTGGGCATTAACTATCAATTCACCTAAAAAATCCAGGGACAATCATATACAGAAACAAGACCTAATTACACAATAAACAATAATCCACAGACTCAATTTTTAGCAATCTGACATCATGCACAACAGAATTCACAAAAAAATTTAGTGACAAATATACATGAAACAGAGGATTCTAAAGGTTTTGTTTTTGAGTTTTTCTTGAGAATTTTTCGTATTTATGGTTTTGGGCTTTTTAAGTAACAGAAAACAGTGGAGTTGTGATAGGTAATTTGAAATTTTAGCTTAGTTGTTTGAGATGTCTTGTTAGGGTTCTAGATCAAATAAATGAAGAAGAAGAAGGAAGGGAATTTTGGCATTCCCAAAGTGATCATGGCCTTGGCAATGGGGAATCTTTTGCTTTTGATCTAGATCTAAGACATTTTGAAAGGATTTTCAAAAACCTAAACTTACTAAAGTTTCGGAAAGGTGAAGAGGAACCGAAAAAGAAACTTTATGGGTTTTCCAACCGTCGGTGAACTGCGGCGATCAGTGATGCATGGCGGCTCTGGCGACGGTAAGTCACAAGATTCTAGAAAAACGATTGTTGCCGATCGAAAGAAGTTAGGCCTTTTAGAGGGAGAAACAAAAATAGAAATTGAAGGAAATGAAAATTTTTGTTTTTAATATTTATACAAAACAGTGAGTTTTAGCAAGAAAAAAAAAAAGGAAAATAGGAAAGAAGGAAATAAAAAGAAGAAAGAAGAGAAAAGAATAGGGTTAGTTGACGCATTCCAATCTCGCATGACAATTTTTTTACATAGACATGCTAGGTTTAAGGTTGGCATCGGATCAGGTTTGAGACGAGTTTTACTCGTTTTGAATTTGATTTGATTTTATATATTATTAAATTTAAATTTGATTTAATTTTAAATTTTTTTATTTTTTCATATTCAATCTCGATCTCGATCTGATACTATAAAATCGTATTCGATTCGATCCAATCTAAAATTAATAAAATATTTATTTTTTTAAATATAAATATTTTAAAATATCATTATATAAATATATATAAATCAAAAATAAAAAAATTAATTAAAAATAATTTTTTATATAATATCAAGTGGGGTCGGGTGAGGTTTACCTAAAACTCAAACTCAATTGTTTCTTAATCTTACTCAACCTGACCTGACCCGAAACCTGAATTTAAAAAAAAAAAATCGATCTCATAGGATCGAGTCGAATCGAAACCTGTTGGGGACTGATTGAATTGTCGACCTTAGTTACGTTGTCTCTAATATCAAATATAGCATGTCCTGTGAAAAGTTTGTTAGATATTAATTTTTCAGTGACTTAAAAAAAATTTACTCAAACGTTAATAATTAAATAAAAAAAATTAATAGTTTAATAATTGTAAACATTTTATTTAATCTAAAATTTAAATTAATTTCATCCGATTTAATTTTAGGCATAAAAAATTTAAATTTTATATATGTTTTATTTTTTATTTTTATATTTATGTATGTATCTATCGTTATTTTATATTTTATATTTATCTTTGTTTTTTATTATTTATAAAAAAAAAAAAAAAGAGTAAAACCGAAAAGATTAGAGTTTGGGCCAATCATTAAGTTTCAACCTAACTAAGCATGTTTAAATTGGGGAATAAAAATGATAAATAAAAATTTAGAGATTTAAAGTTTTTGTTGAAACATTTTAACCGTTAAAAATTTGATATTTTATTTTGAATATTTCAAATTTGAAAATCTTAATTTGAACAATTGAATTTATAAAAAGTGAGAATTATCTCCATTGTATTGCTTAAAATTTTTTGAATTAATCTATAACCATGTGACTTGTTAATAAAACGTTAAATTTTTTGTTTTAATAATTAATATTTAAATTTTGATGTAATAAAGAGGCTTTATATCTATTAACTATTAGATCTTTTATGGTCTTATATCAAGATAGATTTTTTATCTATTACCCATTATTTTTAAGTTTAATATTTAATATGATATCAAATACAAATTTTATTTTGTTATTTTTATATGTTATTCTTTTCAAATTTATAAAATAATAGATATACTAAAATAGTATTGTCTCATGTCTCTCAAATATTAAATTTCTCGTGATGTTACATCAAGTTGGGTCCCTGAATTTATTACCAATCGGATTCGAATAAAAAAAATTTCTTTGAGCCAAATAATAAATCCAAAGCTCTTTTTACTTGCTCCTTTTACTTGCAGTCAAAACTCAAGTCATAACAACCATAAAGACTTTGTTCAAAGCTTCCAACTCTTCTCCTTCTTCCCTCATCTCATTCAACAATTCTGCTTCACTTTCATATCCTTCTTTTGCTCAAAAAACTGCTAAACCAGCCCTATTATGTTGACCCTTCAAAGGGCTATTAGCAATGGCGAAAGCGACCAAAACCAAGATGATGATGAACATATTAGGGACATCCATGCTTTGACCCCACCTCACCCTCCAGCTGTGAATCTTGGCCGTTGGGAGATTGGTAGCCAGCGATCATCCTTTTTGTCCACGTCTAGTGAAGTTGGTTCGAGTGAAAACTTTACTACCATGAGTAGAGAGTTCAGTGCTCTTGTTCTTGCTGGCACTTCCGTTGAAAACAATGATTCTGATTCTATACGTACATTAAACAATCACAATCACTTGACCCGGATAGGGGAGGAGGAAGTGCCGGAGGAAACTAATCCTTTAGCTATAGTGCCAGATAATAATCCGTTTGATCAGGGTTTGGATCAACAAAGAAGGGTTGGGTCAGGAGGGCCGGCGGCGGCGAGTAATAGCAGCCACGGGGAGGTTTCTGTGCTGAGAGTGAAGAAAGAGGAGGTGGAGTCCAAAATATCTGCATGGCAAAACGCAAAGGTTGCAAAGATTAACAATAGGTTTAAGAGAGAAGATGCTATAATTAATGGGTGGGAGAGTGAGCATGTCCAGAAGGCCACTTCTTGGATGAAGAGAGTTGAGGTATGTTGGATATAAAGAAATTTCATTTCTTGTGCATGTTGATCGTGTGATCAGTAATTTCTTATGCTGAGAGTAGTAATTATCAAGCTACTTAATCAAAGGCTAATTTGAAGTCAGTGATACTTCTTTTTATGTTGTTTTTCATGTCAGCTGCTTTGGGATGTTCGATTAATTTGAGTGCTAATTTGATCATATCCTTGTGCCAAACAGAGATTATTGATTATTAGTAGATGATTCAATTGACTAAGCTGATTTTTTATTTAATTAGGGTTAATGTTGCAAATGATTTATGAACTATAGTGAGTATTTAACATGATATTTAAATTTTAAAAATTTTTAATGTGATACTTAAATTATGAATCTATTAATTAATATAATACTTAATTTTTTAACTTCAACGATGATACATGATGGATAGATAATTTTTCAAATATAATAATAATTAATATATTCATAATTTAGATATCATATTAGATATTTTTAAATTTTAAATATTATATTAAATATTTTATTATAATTTAGAGATTATTCATAATATTAATCCCATTTAATTATTATGTGAGTGGCTTAAGTTTTGCTCTAGATTTTGAAAATTATTTCCCAGAGACAAGGCGGGCTATACCTCTTGAAAGATCTGCAAGGAGGCTTTATTAATCAATAATTAGAACCAGATTGGTTGTAACCTATGAATGGACTTTGTTGTGCATATATGGTAGGAATTTTCATGCTAGTTTTATAATTGATTGTCTACTTAATTGTCTTCATGTAATTATCATCTGTTCTTGTTTGAGCCAAAGCTTAATCAGGTTATTGTGCATCATTTTCTTAATTTATTAGTGGATTATGATGATGATGATGATGATGATGGGTAGTCTTTTTTTTTTCCTTCTTTTCTTCCATTTTGCATTGATTCCTTATTCCTTTACATGCACTATCTTTTTGTACTGGGATTATAAGTAATAGTCCCATGTATCTTTACAAAAGTGAATTCAATTTTATGTAGAGGAAGCTAGAGGAGAAAAGAGCAAGAGCCTTAGAAAAGATGCAAAACGATGTGGCCAAAGCACACAGAAAAGCAGAAGACAGAAGGGCATCAGCTGAGGCCAAGAGAGGAACCAAAGTTGCCAGGGCTCTTGAAGTAGCCAATTTGATGAGAGCTGTTGGGAGAGCTCCAGCCAAACGGTCCTTCTTTTGAGACCTTATCAGTTATCACTTTAGTACAAACTATTTTCCTTTAGCTTCCCATCAAGAACATCCCACCTAAACAAATGTACTGTGGACACAGTAATTCTCCCCCTTTAAGAGTACCTTCGTCTTTTCTACCGTAGGGTACATCAAAGGGCAGTCAAGAGTTGCACCAAATCAAATATATATATATATATATATATAATATATATATTTATATTTATATAGAACTGGTGATTTGAAATCTTTGAGTGTTTGAAGTGTGTTGGGATTTTTGAGGATTTGTTGGTGATAGTGGTGGAACCATATTTTTTGTCTGGTACAGTTAAAATTATTAATGTCATTGCTTGGGTGCAGTATTATAAGTAAATGATGGATCGGATAGATATTATTTATAATTGTGTTTATTCTAAGCATGTCTAACTGACAAATTTTTACAGATTTGAATTAAGGAATGAGAGTAGAAAGGGTGTTCGATTGGCGAATTTTTAAATTTTAAAAAGGAAAATGATTTTGGAGCAAATGATGTTGAAGAAAAATATGTAATTTTTTAATTTTATTAATTTAGGGAATGTAAAATATTTGTATTTAATTTAGTGAAATATAAAATTATCTAATAAATTTTTTTTATTATATTATCCCTATATATTATATCAATAGCATATGATATTTACAACACGAGATATATGAATAATATATTATTTTTGTTAAAAATAAAGAATTCTAATAAATAATATTTTTTTCATATTTATAACAAAAGATCGCATTTTTATCTTAAAAACATTATTTATATTGAATTCTAATTTTTTTTAATATTTTCAACAAAAAATGTATTTTTTATTTTAGAAATGTCATTTTGTTAAATTCTAAAAAATATTTGTTTTCATATTTTTAACAATGATTGCATTTTTTATTTTTAAAATATCATTTTTGTTGAATTTTAAAAAATAATTTTATCTCATATTTTCAGCAAAAATTGTATTTTTAATCATAGCATTTGTTAAGAATTTCCATAACATTGTGTCTTTGTTTAAAATATCAAAATATTACATTTTTACATAAAATGTAGTGTTTGTTAATAAAAAGTACATTTTTATCTAAAAATTTGTAATATTTGTTAAAATTATGAAATTTTGAAAAAATAAATTTCTTATAATATATCAACAAGCAAAATGTAAAAAACAAAATATAAGTTTTTTCATAATATATTTTTAATAAAAATCAAATTTTTAATCTTAAAACAAAGTTTACATTTTTAATCTAAAAAACTGATTTTTGTTTAAAATATATTAAGAAAAAAATTAGTTTCATAATTTTTTTTAAAAAATTACTACATTTTAAAGATAAATACTGATATCTGTATAATTTGAAAATGCAATAAAACAAAAACAAATGAGAACAAAAAATTTTTTTTCCTTCGAAATGTAAAAAATTTTAAAGAAAGTAGAATTTTTAATTTCCCTATTTTCTCCTTTCTTGACATTTTTGAAAATTAAAAAAAAAATCTTAAAAATCACATTATGTGAAATAAATTAAAAAATCAAATAAAGAATAATTAGATTTTGATAAAAATTTTACTTTTCTCTAAATCAAATACCTCTTAATAGTGAAAAAATGAAATGCTTATTTCTTATTATCTCTTTTTTAAAGGGTGACTAGAGGAATTAAATGCTTCCTTGGAATTAGTTATAAAAAAAAATATGAAATTTAATTTGATTTATATAATTATTTTTAAGATATAATATTTACGATATTTAAATTTTAAATATAAAAATAATGAAACCAATTGGAAAATTGAAAGTATTAATTCTTGTAGCTCAAACTGTTGATTGATGCAAATGGTTGTGCAGAAGGAGACAATAAAATCAACTGGAAAATTGAAAGATAAGATGTGTTTTGTTTCATTCAAATATAAGGCCAAGTGATTTGCATTTTGGGAGTGGCGAAAGTAAAGAAAAAAAAAAGACTTGGGAGACATTCGAGGAGGGGCCAAACAAATGAAAGGGACAACGCTGCATTTGTTTTACGCGTTTTCGAAGACTAATTTTGGAGATAGTGTTATTATTATTTTTAAAGTGAGAAGGCTTGTCTTTCTGACCAAACAGCCGAAAATCTGTCGCAACTATAAGGAGTTCTGTTTTTCTTTAGGTCAAGGAAACAAAGTTCATGAGATTAATAGAAAGTTATGTTATAATTTCTCTTTTTCTTTTTTTTTTCTTAGAGCTCTTTGAGTTTAGGGATTTGTATGAAACAACTTTTATGCTGAAATATTTTAATTTTATAAAAATTTTAAAATAATTTTCAAATGATTTAAATAAAAAAGACGAATCCAAAAAATAAATAAACGTTTCTCTAACTTTGAAATATTCTTATTTCAAAAATTTCTACGGTAATCTCAATCATCATAAATAGTATTTACAAACTTTCTTAAATTTTTTATAAAAAAACCGTAATATGATAATAAAAAAATTATAAATATTTGAATTTGAATGTTAAATTTATGAGATATTATTTTTGAAAAGTGATTATATAAATTAATTATGTTAAAATTTTATTTTATTAAAAAAATAAAAAGTGAAAATAAAAATTTTGTTAATTTAATATTTTAACTCTAAAATATAAAAATTGTTATAAATTTTAATAATAAATCAATAAATTTTTATGCCCACTACTTTACATCATTCCTATCAAACAAAATTTAAATCTTGGTTCCAAAAACTTTCCTAATTTTATCTTGTCCAAAATTCCAAATTCTAAAGAAAACGCGTTTTCCCTTTCTCATTCAATTCTTTAGAACAGTGATTAGATGTCTATAAAGCGGCTTTTATTAGTCCGAATTGTTCACCGAAAGCCATTCACATTGAATAAGAAATAGTATAAAATATAAATGGCCAATAAATCATTCCAAACATGCAAGCACGGTTTCTCGAAACCAGCACTCCCAATTTGTTCTTATTCTTTTGGAATATAGTAAACAAATCTTTCAAAAGCAAACCTACTGCAGATTTACAGACTGCTAGTGGGCAGATCAATTGATATTTTCTTTTCGTACTTTAAAGAACCGTAATTTGCGTTAACACTGTCTCAAAATTTTGCATTAGTCAAATGATTAGGAACCTTGATTTTCTTTCACTTTCAATCAAAGAATCTTTCCCCTTTATATATATATATATGGAGGAAGGGGTACCTTGGTGGCTGCCAGTGAGGCAGGCTGAAGAGAAAACCGGAAATCCATATAAAATTAACATTTAAAATTCAATAATTTTAAACACGGAGTGATATAATATAAAAATAATATAAATAAATATAATTTAAAATTTTAATAAAAATTTTATATGAATTTAATAAATTTAAGTTTGATAAAATAAATTATAATATAATAATTTTTATATTTTACATATATTTAATATAAAATAAAAATAAAAATATGCAAATGATTAAATCTTTATTTAACCAAAAAGGCTAGTATATTAGCTAGATGCTCTCCATAATGGCTTCAAATTCTATTTGGGTCTTCCATGTGACCTACAATAAAATGGTCCATCAAACTTATTACTCTGAGAATTTATAAATACACGGGTAGTAATAAATAATGAAATAATAAATAGAGTATGGATTCTTTAAAAATTGTAAATAAAATACATTAAGTACTAAAACTATATCAGTCTAATTATTTTAGAAAAATAAAAATAGGCAATTAACTAAATTAATGTTGCAAAACCGAAATAAACAATGTAAATAACAATTAAAATTAAACTTTAAACATGCTAGCAAGAAATTAAATTAATGCAAAACCTTGTAAACTTAAACAACTCTAACTTAAACATGTAACAATTAAAACTACTATGAATAAAACATGGATAATATCCTATTTAACCCTTAAATTAGTGTATTGTTTTTAATGTGGTACCTAAATAAAAAAATTTTCTAGTTTGATAATTAAATTATATTTTTATGTATTAAATTAGTCCAACCCTTAACACCGTTAATAAAAAATATTAATGTGATATGAATATCAAATATGATACTAATATGTGTCAAAAAAATTTAACTAGTATCGCATCATCAATATTACGTAAGTATAATAAAAAAATTTTAAAAAATTCAAAAAAATTTTGAAAAATTATAAAAATTTCTAAAATAATTTAAAAAATCTAAAATAATTCTAAAAAATTTAAAAATATACTAAAAATACTCGAGGATAGAGACCTATTGAAGAAATCAATTTTGTAAGAATTAAAATTCTTAAACTTTGATTGAAACTAGGATTCTGTCCCTATAAATCAACATCAAAGCTGAGAGTGAAAAAAAATAAATAAAGATCATGATTAGAAAAAATTTAGTGAAGGGAGATTGGCAGTGAAACAAGTTCAATTACAAATGAATTTAGAGGAATAACGGAATTCACAATCAACAAAGGTAGTTAAAATTTCTTACAGTCATCAACCATGCCCAATCATCTTAGACATATCCCTATCCAAAATCAAATATCCAATTTCCTAGTAAAAGAATTTAGAAACACAAGCTAGAAATTTTCAATTAAGCAAGAAACAAAAAAGCCTTAGCACTAAAAAATCGAGGAAACCTAGTAAAACCCATAGTCTAAACAATAAAAAAACGAAACCTAAACCTAGAAATCAAGTCAATCCAAAGCAAACCCCAACACAGACGATCGAAAGCATTCAAGCAAAAACCCAGCTCCAAATTGAAAACAACCACAAGCAAATACAAAAAGTCACGAGCTGATAGAGAAAACTCAAGGAACTAGTAGCCAGAACCTAGAAATCTCATCAACCTGAGAACACTCATAAACAATTTAGCATCCCCAAACCCAAATCTTACACACAACCAAGAAATCCAACACACCATACTCGAACCCCATAAAAAACAACCACAATCCACACCCATAATCATAAAAAACTAGAAGTATAAAAGAAGAAAGGGATTAAGGTTTCAACATTAGAATTTCAAGTTAAGGTTTTAGAATTTGAGTTTTGTTTTTAGGAAAAACTTTGTGTTAGTGCTAAACCTAATGGCAAAAACAGCAATGAAAGTTGTAGCTTTCGAAATTTGATCTTGGATTTTTGAAAGATTCTTTTAAAACTTGTTTAAGAAAGAAAATGGAAGGTTTGAAAGGCTAGAGCAAAAAAATGAAGGAAGCAAGAAAAAGAAAGAAAGGCTGGTAAAGAATAAGGGGAAGGAATTTCGGTGGCTTTTTGTAGGATCGATGGCCACCAGTGGTTGTATGCGGTGGTGGCGGAAGCGATAGAAGGTGGCTAATTTTTGGGATTTCTTGTCAGTGTTCTTAGCATAAGAAAAGAACTTTTTAGAATTTTTTAAAAAAATTTAGATTTTTTTTTTTGAATTTTTAAAATT